AGTCTACACGGATTATAAGAACCTCGCGTAATTCACCACTGCTAAGGTTCTTAATAAATGATACATCCGATAGGCAGAATTCCTAGCCGAATTCAACTTCTATATCTAGTATATAAAAGGGAGCGAAAATAGTCGTGTAGACGCACTTAGCCGACTAGGGACACCTAATAAATCACCTAAACCGTAAGCTATACTTTAATAGGAAGGAGAAGCTCTTACACTAAAGGATAAAGAGGTAAATAGCATTAATCGGATAACCGACACTATATTTAAAGAAGCACACGCCTCGCCGATATATAGATATCAAGGAGTTTATAAAATATACCACCGATTACGATAATAATACGGCTATACAGGAACTAAAGAACGAGTCAGGGACTTTATTCGTAACTACGATATTTACTAGAAAGTAAAGAGCAGCCGATATAAACCTTACGGACTACTAAAGCCACTGCTAGTAATAGACGGACTATAGAAATCGATTATAATAGACTTCGTGACAGGATTTCCAGTATCCAAAGATCCAGTAACAGGAACCGCCTATAATAGTATATTCGTGATCGTCGACCGATTCATAAAATACACTCTTTATATTCTATATATCAAAAACACTATAGCAGAAGAACTAGTAAGTATCTTTATCGACCGCCTAATCAGGGATCACGGCGCACCGAATAAAATCATCACGGACAGAGATAAGCTCTTTACTAGTAACTTCTGGAAAGTAGTTATAAGCTAGCTAGGAACGAAATATAAGTATTCGATAGCGTTTCACCCTATAACGGACGGATAAACCGAAATTATAAACTAAGTCCTGGAATAGTACCTACGATACTACATAGGGTACGAATAAGATAATTAGGTGTAGTACCTGCCACTTATATAGTTTATATATAATAGCTCGTTAAACGAGTTAATAAAGAAAACACCGTTCGAAGTAAATTACGGATATACCCTGATAGTATTTAGAAAACCTTTAGAAGGACTAGACGTACTAAGAGCGATAAAAATAGTTAAAAGCATGAAAAAACTACACGAAGAACTACGAACCGACCTAGAGATAGTCAGAACACGAATAAGCAGGTACGCGAATTAATTAAGGATTAAGGGACTAACCCTTTTAAGGGGGGACCACGTCTACCTTATTCGCAAAAATATCAAGACATAACGACTAAGCGATAAATTGGATTTTAAAAAATTAGGACCGTTTAAAATCCTAGAGAAAAAGTTAGATATGAACTATATTCTATTACTACCTCCGATAATAAGGATATATAATAATTTCTATATTTCACTACTTAAACTAGCACCGAAAAACGTAAAAATAATATAAGATATGATGGTGGTCGATACTAGTGATGTGTATGAAGCAGAATGAATCCTTAACCACTAAGAGACGCTAGACGGCACCGAATATTTTATAAAATAGAAAAACTACGATTATAGCGATAATATATAGGAACTAAAAGATAACCTGATTAATTATAAGTAACTCCTAAAGCAGTACCGATAGAACACTATCAGGACCTAGAACCAGACGCCGCGGTCTGTATAAAATTAATATCCGAGAATTCACCTATATCCTGCGCTATTACCTAGTTCTAATTAATCACGTTAACAGCACCGGTAGCTTATATAGTGGCCACCGCCTCTAACTCGGCCCGATAGGCCTTTTTTTCCTCCTTCTCCACCTTCTCGAGCTCCTCTATATCGGTAAGGTCCTTACGAACTATTTCCACCCCCTTCTTCCGTAGCAGGCGACGAGTTCGGCGAAGGCGGGATAAGCGGGCGAGCGCCTTATAGAGTATCTCCTCGGTCCGTTCCTCCTCTTATTTAAGGCGCTTTAGCTCTTCGTTTATACGACCCGCTAGGAAGGCGAGGGGGTAAGTAAATAGAGGCTAAGCGGGAAGGCGAGGGCAGGAGCGTACTAGAAGATATTAGGATTCTAGCACTATTATAAGAACGACCTAAGCGGAAACACGCGTAATAGCGAGCGATATCGTCCAGAACGAAGCACGGTACGTTCTTAAAGGCATAACGGGTGCAGGGGACGACCTCGTAGCCTTAATCAGCGATAAGGGCAGAAACGGTCGATCGGTTTTTGGCGGAACGAGATTTAGGATAAGACGACTTCTGGACACGGTCGGATATAATAGTTAGTAATAAAAAAGAAGGAAAACCTAAGGAATACTAACTAGGGAAAAGCGACCTACTTATACGACCGCTAGGATAGCGCTTAAAAGGAGGAAGGTAATATTACGGCCGGCCGCCTAATATAGACTAACCCTATAGGTATACTAGTGTATATCCCACGGGACGGCTCTAAACGGGGGGTAGTATAGGATAACTTAGGGAGTTATATGCTAAGTCACGTGTTACTAGGTACGGAGGTACTTAGTATACCGTCCGGGACGGACCGGGGTCGATTACTCCGACGAAGTGACTAATAAGTAATCGGTCATAATAGAATCACCCGGGCATAGCGACCACGTAAGGAATAGTCACTACGGGTAAGGAGGCACTATCACTATATAAACCAGAATATCCTAGGTCTTACTTCTACTAGAGAATAAGATATCGATTAATCTAAGTCTTCACCTAGACTATTAGTCTACGCCTAACTCTACCTTATAAAGAAGACGCCTAGTCTTTACGACGTAACTACGACTAGACACTACGAATAACAGTTACTGCTCTTTAGTTAATATCCTCTTCTTATTTTAAACTAAAACCTCGACGCCAGTCCCCTATCGTCCGCTATACTATAGAGGACCGGAAGCCGTCGTAATAAGCCTACGGGCGTTTTATATCGAAATCAGGTAATTTCATTTCACCCGCCTTTTTATACTTAAGCTAGAGTACGATTCCGCGCCGGATCTATTTTATATATAAGTATACAGTGCTATATAGGGGTATAGAGTAATATACCTCCGGCGTTTTCTTTACTATATACCTAGTAATATCTCTCGAGTATCTATTCTTAATTACTATCGATCTATTAGCTTAGTCCTAATACTATAAAGACATATAGATACGTATAGTCTAGTATATATACGGTTAGTTACTTCCCCTCTATACTAGAGGGCTATACTACGGGCGCGGGAGGGAGTTTATCGCTAGTAATCGTATTTAGCCACTACACGCGACGCGTAATAGCGGCTATATTACGAATTATCCTTATATTTATCTATATGGATTTATAATTACCTATATGGTATATCGCCATCGTTAGCTAACTATCTAGTAATAAGTCGTATAACCGTAACTTGCAAAACAGCTTTAAAGATAAGGATACTAGTAGATCTAACCCTATAGAATCGAATCCCGATATCTGATTTAATGCTATAGCTCTATATAAGAGTGTATATAGGTTTACTTACCTGACTCGTTATTAGTTATCTAGAGAGGAAAATAAGATTAGTGTAGGCGTGGCGTTATAGTAGTGTAGGGGCACGAAAAAAATTCTAGGCTTCTAATTAGATAGCTGGCCTAGGGCTATACTACTAAGGTGCTCTACGTGCTACTAGCGTACCACTATATACGAGTCTATACACCCCTGTACGGGCGTCTATCTATGATTTTTTTTGGGATTTTTGGAAGTTAAAACAGACCGTCCTGCCGCTTACCGTAGGGAGGGTCAATGGAACGGAGAAGGGAGGAGGAATCATCTTGGCGACGGGTCCCCCCTGTCTTCCGCAACTTTCCGCACAATCTTAAAGGCCAAGACTTCCAAGACTTCCAAGACTACCCAAACCCTGGACTGATTTGAGCCGCATGGATTACATACGTCGTTTCTACGCCGAGGCTGCATTGCCTCGACTACACGCGTCCATTGTACGGTATCTCAGCGAGTATATTCATTCATTCTGTCAGCAAGAATGAACTTCACCCAGGGTCGGAGCCCTTCGCATAGAAACCCCTCCGACGTCGGTTTCCAGCTGTCCATTCCTGACCCAGGTTTTAGTTTTGCCCAACTTGGATCGATATCACTAAGGGCCAATGCGACAACGGTTGATGGAACAATCGTGGAGCTAACGAGTTTTTCACTCGTAATAACGATGGGTACAGCGTAGTGCCTAACTGCTCGACTACGCCATCCGCCCCCCCCCCCCCTTGTGGAATGCTCTATCAAGCTCTCACATTCCTCCCGTCTCGTCCAATGATCTCAAGGAGAGAATTATCGGACGACGTCGTTTAGCTCCGTACGCATGGGGCAATCCCCGGTTTGTCCGGCAGTCCGGCAGCCCGGCATCCAAAGCCATCAATTCATGTCGTCGTTTCTCACACCGAAAACCGAAAATCCACCACACACTGAATCGACGGCGAAACTTGGCCATGAGCTTCGAATCCTCGTCAAGGGCTACACACGTTCTTCCTTTATCTGATAAGGATTCGGTCCGAGGAGTTGGCTTAGGTTACCTTCTATAACAACAACCGTATTTGCGTGGCCCGCCCTTAGTTCGTCCTCGTGGTGTGATGATCTACCGAGTACAAGCTTCGGTCGCACCGATCCCAAGTATTGTGCCCTCTCAGAACCGGGACTGGCCGCATGCTTTTGCCGTCACAAGCCTTATCTATTGTTTTGCGGTTCCTCCAATCCAAAACACTGGATTATGCAATGGAAGTGAGAGTAGGTACAGGGTCAGCAGGGTCAACGTCACCTCCGCATTCGTACGTTCGAGGGTTAACAAAAAAAAAAACCGCCTCCATCGTCAACCCTACGTTAGCTCCAGGACTAAGCTAGTTACCCCAGAATCATGGCGCAGTGGACTTCCTTGGATCCGTGGCGCCAGTTCGGCCTGATTCGGCGATCACGGTCTCCCCATCCTGGCCGTACAAAAGTGATGACTCTCTGAACATTCTTTGCGTCCTCGTTTCCCCTTTCAACTTGCAAAGCCTCCCCTGACTAGCCCATAGACTACGATCTGCCTTTCGGCCGGGAGTCGTCTCATAAAATCAGTGGAGTCGCCCCCTTTCGCACTGGCTCTCTAGTTGTTTTTCTTAACCTTTCCTTCCTTTTTTTCTTCTTTTTCTTCTTCTTTTTCTTCTTCTTTTTCTTTTGTTCCTTCTACTTTTCAGTCTCGGTTCCTACGAACCCCCATCGCTGTCTTGAGACGCATCGTCGTCCATTTCAACTTCGCCACCGCGAAGGTCACTTCTGTCCAACACCTTTCCCATTCGAAACTTCCTTCATATCATGGACACACCGCCCAAAGCAGACGTCGTCCAGGCGGATGCGGTGCCCGAGAAGGCGGCCCCTTTGCCTGGCTACAACAACACGGGCCGCTCGAAGGAGGCTGCCGAAACCACCCAGCAGGAGAGCTTCTTCACGCGGAATGGCCTCAACTTGACGTCGTTCAAGAGGCGCGAATATGGCCGCGGGATTGTCGAGCTCGACCGGGCGATGAAGACCCGCCATCTTCACATGATTGCGATTGGCGGTTCTATCGGTGCCGGGTTTTTCGTCGGTTCGGGCGGTGCTCTTGCCACAGGTGTAAGTCCCGATTCCGTCCATGGGGCGAAAGAAGGGGTGTCGAGGCAATGCTAGAAAGGGAAAAGGAAAAAAGGGGGGGGGAGAAAAAGGGAAAAAATGAATACAAGCTGACAAGTCGTTCCATTGCAGGGTCCTGCATCACTCCTCATCTGCTTCGCCATCGTGGGTGTCATGATGTTCAACGTCGGTTAGTCGCGCCTCTTTACATTCCTTTTGGTCCAATGAAGACGAAAAAAAAGGGAGAAAAGGAAAAATCTAACGCATCCCGTCAAGTCTTTGCCCTCGGTGAACTGGCCGTCATGTACCCCGTATCCGGAGGCTTCTACACGTACTCGACTCGCTTCATCGACCCGTCGTGGGGCTTCGCCATGGGCTGGAATTACGTCTTCCAGTGGGGGATCGTATTACCGCTGGAATTGACCGTGTGCGGCCTGGTGATCGAATACTGGACCGATCAAATCAGCGTGGGCGTCTGGATCACGGTATTCTGGCTGGCCATCATTATCGTCAATATCTTCGGCAGCATCGGATACGCCGAGGAGGAGTTTTGGTCGTCCATGCTCAAGCTGTCGGCCACGGTCATCTTCATGGTCATCGCTCTCGTCCTGGTGTGCGGCGGCGGTCCATCGAGCGGGCAGTACGACGAGTACTGGGGAGCCCGGCTATGGTACGAGCCAGGAGCGTTCCGGTACGGCTTTAAGGGGTTCTGCTCCGTTTTCGTAACGGCGGCGTTCTCCTTCTCGGGAACAGAACTCGTGGGGCTCGCGGCCGCCGAGAGCAAAAACCCGGCCAAGTCGCTTCCCGGCGCCATCAAGCAGGTGTTCTGGCGGATCACATTGTTCTACATCCTGGGCCTGTCCTTCGTCGGCTTGCTGATCCCTTCGAACGACCCGCGGCTCATCGCGTCCAATGCGTACTCGGACGTCAACGCGTCCCCCTTCGTGCTGGTGGGCCTGTACGCCGGGCTGAACGGGTTCGACCACTTCATGAACGTCGTCATCCTGGTCTCGGTCCTCTCCATCGGCGTGAGCGGGGTGTACGGCGGCTCGCGGACGCTGACGGGCCTGGCGCAGCAAGGCTACGCGCCCAAGCTGTTCACGTACATCGACCGCTCCGGCCGGCCCCTCCCGTCGGTGATCGCCATCATACTGTGCGGCCCGCTCGCGTACATCAACCTCAGCGCGTCGGGGCCCGAGGTGTTCTCCTGGCTGCTCGCGCTGTCGGGCCTGGCGGCCATCTTCACGTGGGGGTCCATCTGCCTGGCGCACATCCGGTTCCGCAGGGCCTGGGCCCACCACGGCCACACGTTGGACGAGATCCCGTTCCAGGCGGCGGGCGGCGTGTACGGGTCGTGGCTGGGGCTGGCTCTGTGCTTCGTCGTCTTGGCGGCGCAGTTCTACACGGCCATCGCGGCGCCGACGGGGCAGTCGGGGCTCAACGACGTGAGGGGGTTCTTCAAGTCGTATCTTGCGCTGCCGATCGTGCTCCTGTTCTGGCTTTGCGGGTTCCTGTGGAAGCGGACGGGATGGCTGCGCACGCACCAGATGGATGTGGACACGGGACGGCGACAGGTGGACTGGGAGGCGATTAACGCGCATAGAGCGCATGTGCGGTCGCTTCCGGCTTGGAGACGCCTTCTGTACAAACTCGTCTAATGGTATTTGGTTTGGTTTGGTTTGGTTCGCTTTGCTTTGCTTTGCGTTTCGAGGGTTGGTCATTGTACTATATTATATGCCGGTGTTTACTGGAGTAGATGTCTCGCTGATACTATTTTACGCACATAGACACTAGATATTGAGGGACCAGTTGAAATTGACCTCGATAGAACATCATATTCCCATGAACATGATGATAGCGACTACGTGGTGTGAGAACAGCTTGATGCATGATGGATATATGTCTAGCTCGCTCGTCCTGGCAGTCCTCCTCCCCCTCTCTCTCTTATGTCGCAACCCTCCGCAGCACCTCACAAGTCTATTTCTTCTGGACCGACAAAGGGTCTTAGTGAGGGGTAATCAAAAGGCCAGGGCCAGGCCCAGAGACAGGGGCAGGGGGGCTGTGGTGGTTAGTGAGAACGACGAGGAACAACGAGGTAGAGAGAGCTGACCACCCATTTGTGTGCCTCGTATTCCTGGTTCCCGGGGTCACCGTGCACCCGACGTATGTCCCCCTCGATTCACTATGATGCTATCGGTTAGCAGGCTCTAAGCCTAGAAATAAGCACATCGTGATCGTAATTGGTCTTCTCCTCGACGGCGTTGGTATCATTTGCAGGGTTAGAGGCTTGCACGTCGCGTGTCGGGAGAAGTAATCGTTCGTTAAGAACGGATAGGTATCGCTATCGATAAGGGTGGTTGGAGAGATGTGGAGACAAACAGCGCCAGTTGGGGTTAAAAGTTGCGAACTGCCGCTTTTCGGTGTACGAAGTACGAAGTACCTTACGCAGTACGGATATAATGGGTTGCGAGCAATGTACGTTATTACCTTAGTCATATGGTTACTTGGTACCTACCCGGGTAGGGGTGGGTATAGGTCAGAGCTCGAACAGAGAATTTTGCACTGACCAGAGCCAGGACAGAGATATCGCTGTCAACATAATGTTCTAAGACTTCGGACATCTGACCAGTCCATCGAGCTCTGACCTATAACCAGCCAAACCCGGGTAGGTAACTTGGTAACTTGGTACGAGTCTTCCAGACGCCGTACCGTTGTACACATACGTAAGATGCATCGTCATGGTTTCTACACGTACTCCATACTGAGGTTGCGCCCGCAGGCGCCCTAATTTGGCTCTTGCCCTGCTTATCTTTGCTTGTACCGTAATTCTTTAACTGCTACCTTATAAGAAGGATTACCGTCGCCACCCTCCAAACCAAGAGCGTGGGAAGAGGATCATAGCCAGTGAATCGAGATCTCGGGCATAACCGTATAGGGGGTCGGGTCGCTTTGGAAAGAAGTGGGAAGGCTACATGGACCAGTAGTCAAACAACGATAGCCCGGAACCCGTCCCGTCCCCGGACAATGTTCCTTCGAGCCTCTTGTGTTACGTCAAGGGGTTTTTTCTTTCTTTTTTTCTTTCTTTTTTCTTCTTCTATTCAACGAAGTAAAAGGCTAAATCGAGTCAATTCTGTTCCATATGCCATGCAAACTCGTCAATACCTTTTGCGGTCAATGTCCGGTCCCCCAAGTTATAACTCTATTTGACAAGTCTCGCCAGATCGCCGTCATTCGGCTCCCCCGGAAAGGGAATAGACGGACAAGCCAAAGTTGGAAGCAGATATGGGGCCACAGTATTGTAGTGTACGTTAAGGTAAGGTAGGTAATAAGGTAGGGTATGTACGTAATAAGGTAGGTAGTGTAGGTAGGTACCTTACCGGAATCATCTCTGGAGGGCTCTATCGTCATCGATTATTGGTTGCGGTCACAGTACGTACCGATGGGAATTGTCCATTCACGTTCCCCGCCTCGTGGACTTTGCTCACCGACCTAACCTGAAATGCCCTCCTACTGAACACAAGGACAAACAGGCAAACGGGCAAACGGAACCAAACGGATGGCGAGCCCTTCCCATTCCCACATGGGTTACCGGTGACCGACGAGCTATCATTGGGGGTCGCATCCGGACCACAGAGTAAGAAAACTGTCTTCGGCCCTGCGGTTGGCTGCCCTTTCATGCATGGCTTGCGGAGAGTCGGCAACATGCATGCCATGCCATGCCATGCTATGCCATGGCCTGGGACCAGCAATCAATGCCCTTTTTTGGATAGCTCTGACGGGGATGACAGGCTCCAGCTATCAGCTATTAGCCACCTGAAGAGAAGACTGA